TGTTGGGAAAACAAATAACGGAGCAAAACAAAACAAAACCAAGTCTCCTGAAATACCTTGCGGATGCCCAGAGGAAAGCGCTGGACAGACAGATGAGCAGATAGGTTCCTCTGTCCTCCTCTCTCAGGCTCCCTTCTCTCTCGGTGTGCTGTGGAGAGTGACTGCTCACAGCCCGCCTGGCATATCTAATTAGAGCCAGGCTGTTGCCACTATCGGGCAGAGGATCTACCTCTCCAATCTCTCCTGACTCAATCTTCCCCATCTCTGATTTTCTTTTATATTTATGCTGGAATATTTAATTGTAGACAAAAGGTTACTCTGGGCTCTATTCATCACACACAGGCAGAATAATCTCCTTTTAAAGGCTTGACATTTCAGGCTTTTCAAAAGGGGCTGAAAAAATTATATCCCCGCTTTTGTTAATCAATGAAGTAGAACTCCCCCGAACAAAAGAATTAAATTGCTTGGTTGGGTTAATAAAACACACAGAAATAGCTGCTTCCTGTGGGCTTTTGTGCCTGCCACTGGCTTCCCCTCATATGCAACCAGCACTGTAATTCCATATGATTTGAGGGGCAAAAACTCTTCTTTCCCCACACAGTTGGCTTTTTAAATCCTATTGAATGAGCAGCCAGTGAGGCTGGCTGCCCGAGCCTGGCTAACAGAACAGGCTCGCTCCATTCGAGTCCATCTTCCACTAAGGAGAGACGCAGGGTCCACTACAATTTAAAATTTCTATACTGTCTCAGACAAACATTGTAATTATGAAAATGATAGGGGTAATAAGTAGGCCCTTCACTGTCCCATTGTGTCAGCTGCCACCATAATTCAGTCCAGCGGCAGGAGAAAACACAGCAGGACACGTTGTGGTTTAAATTGCTCCTCACAGACAGCCTGCAGATGTGCACGCCATCACCCCAAGGCAGGGTGCTTCTGGATAAAACTATGCAGTGGCACACAGTCTAGCTATGGGGCTGAACGCTACAGTAGTACACAGGCCTGCTGCTGCTCTCTACATATTCTGTTTTACACTTTCCCTATATCATACCATACCAGCGTTGTTTATAAAGCACTTTTGAAAACGGTGTGGCAGCCGACCAAAGTGCTGTACAGATAAAAAGTAAAGGGAGTGAATAATTTACCAACTTTATTTTAAAGGTGTGGAACACTTGTTTAATCAGTGCATTTGCAGTGGTTTTTAGTAGGAACGAATGCTTTGTAAGTCGTTCCCGGGAGCCAAAAATCACAGGTGCACCATTTAGGGGCGGCGTTAGGCCCGGCTACCTGGGCTGAAGCCCCGAATGTTTTACGAAAAGCCCCGGATCTAAATCGTGGAAGTAACATGCAGTACCAAAGTCCAACAGAGAGGGAGCAGCTGGCAGTAGTTTGTATACAGCCTGCCTGAGCCTCCCCCACTGAAGAAGAAGCCCTTCAGCAGCCGGCTTCTTCTACAGTCTCTGCCTGAAACGCCATGTGTGAAGATGGACATAAGGATGTTTTTTAGACAAAAAGTACAACGACAGAACCCCAGCTTTGATGAGACTGGTGTTGACTCAGGTTTGTGAGTCTTATTTGAAAATATTTGTGATTTCTAATACATATGATGTTGACTAGAGTGTGTCACGTGTGTGTGTGCGCGCGCGCTCGCGTGCACGTGTGTTAAGCCCCGGATCTTCTTCAGTCTTAAATCCACCCCTGGCACCATTTCCAGGAACTAGAAGTGAGCCACACCACAGCTGAGCTCCAGACGGCAGGTTTTGGGATCTCATTTCCTGATATTTGGACATCTCGCCTCAGTTTGGATAAATGGTAAATGGCCTGTATTTGTATAGCGCCTTCTAAGGATTCCACGACCCCCCCCAAGGCGCTTCACAACACAATCAGTCATTCACCCATTCACACACTGGTGGGGATTTCATTTCATTTATTTATAAAGCCCCTTCTGCGACCAAAGCAGACACCCAGGGTGCTGAACACAACACAATAAAAACATAAAACCATCAGAATAAAATATAACTATCGTAAAACCAACATAAAATCAATTAAAAGAGGAGGGTAAAGGCAAAAAACTAAATCCTGAAAAAGATTAAGAGGCCGGGGCATCGAAACCGGGTAAAATTTGCTAATCCTGGAATGCCTTGACAAAAAAATGGGTCTTAAGGCGAGTCTTAAAAAAAAACCAATGAGAGTGACCGACGCACCACCAAAGGCCACTGGTTCCAAAGTGCAGGTGCCAACACCGAGAAAGCACGGTCCCCCCGTGACCTGCACTTAGTGCGTGGAACGATCAACAGCTCCCTGCCGGCTGAGCGAAGGGTCCGTGAGGAGGCATGCCTATGCAAAAGGTTGCCAAGATATGCTGGAGCAGTTCCTTGTAAGGCCTTGTATGCCAGTACCGAGACCTTGAATTTTGCCCTGTATTGCACAGGCAGCCACTGAAGGGATGCCAACACAGGGGTGATATGTTCCCTGCGCCTAGCGCCTGTCACGAACCTAGCTACGATGTAGCTACAGCTGCCCTGGGGTGCACTGACAGAGGCGAGAATGCCGAGCACTGGCGCCACCAGTCCCTCCGACCACCACCAGCAGGCAAGGCGGGACACAACAGCAGAATTCTCTGGTCGGAGCAGGGATCGAACCTGCAACCTTCCGATTACTGGAAAGCCTGCTCTACCTCCTTAGCTACTGCTGTCCCTAACAGCAACGCGACTCTACCACTGAGTTGTAACGATGATGTTTTATCTCCACAAATAACACAAGCCTGGAGGAGTTCTGTGATGTGTTGAAGCTGCTAATGCTAATGGTTAGCTTCTGCTAGAAGAGGCCATCTCTGCTGTTTCCTGGACGCTACATCAACAACAGCCTTCTCTGTCATGAGTCAAGATGGGTGAGTCCATGAATGTTAAGTGACAGTGTGATGTAGATCTGTCAGGCTTTTCTAATCCTACAGTTAAACCGTCTATTTTCTATCAGAAGCTAATGCAGGAGATGGTGTACGTGTAGGAACGTGTTCATTATGCCCTAAAATACCTTTCACTGTTGCACAGCAGCTATTTTAATGGAATTTGATTATTAACAATAACAGCGGCAGCAGAGCAAGATGTAGCAACACTGGTGCATCCCGGGGTAAGGCCTGACTGGAGTTTCATCCAAAAAAATAAAACAACACTAATGTAAAATGTTGTATGGACGTCTCAAATGAAAACTCTTTTTTTTTTCTCCTCCTATTTTCTGATTTAAAACAGAGAATTTATCTGCTATGGTCAGTTTAATAATTATTTATATTTAATTAAACCTAAATTCATATTCATGCAATAGAAAGAAATTGTACACAACGTTTTTCTAATTATGAGTGGAATAATGCTTGTTATTTTCTGCATCTTGTTTACTTTTCTTACATCTTAAATTAAAGGTCATTTTTACTCATATTTTAAATACATTTGCAGTGGTCTCTAGTTGGGATGGATGCCTTATAAATTGTACTCTGGGGAAAAACCTCTGGTGTGCCTGTTTGAGGACGTAGACGTCAGCTGGAGGACAGAGTGGCAGAACACGGCAGGATTGGGAGTCTTGTTTCCAGATATTTGGACATCTCTCCTCTGATTGGATACCAGCAACACAGCCCTACCACTGACTCGGTTTGCTCTGCAATGCTGATGTTACATCTTCACAAATAACACAAGTCTGGAGGAGTTCTGCTGTGTGGTGGAGTTGCTAATGCTAACAGTTAGCTTCTACTAGACGTTCTCTGGTGGACGCTAAACCAACAAAAGCCTTCCCTATTGCGACTCAAGATGGGTGAGTCCATGAGTGATAAGTGACAGTGTGACGTGGATCTGTCCGGCTTTTCTAATCCTAGAGTTTCACCGTCTTTTTTCTATCAGAAGCTAAAGGTGGAGATAGGTGTAGGACACTATTTTCATGCTCAGCCTGCATGAAAAACTCAGGGTGACCCGTTATAATCAGAAATAATCATTAAAAACATGTTTTTCAGTGTTTCACAACTTTAACTGCTAATGAAATTAGAGTTGTACAAAAAGGATTATGAAAAGATTTGGAGATATAAGAGAAATGAGTTCTGATGGGACAGAGAGACAAGAACATTAGAAAGTCAAATAATTTATGAGTCAATTATGTTATTTTTACCTCGTGTTTTTTTTTAGTTTGATCAGAATTAAAAGTTACTGATTCATGCCCTCTGAGAATGATTTTCATCATTTGTGTCAACTTTATCATAAAACCATAAATAGGCATATGTGATTTGTCAAAACTGTTTAATTCTAAACAATATCATTAACCTGAACTCAAAAAAAATATTTTTGTAACGTTTTAGCTGTAACGGTGGAAAAAGTAAAGCTGGTCCCAAATCTTATTAAAATTGCAATAATATACAAACAGTGGCTAATATGGCAAGGAGCTAGAAAAGGATAACGAAGTTAAAGATGCAGTGTGTACAAATATAGTGAGAATTTTACAGTGAGAAAATTCCTAACTAGTTTCAGTCATTTTGGAAGGAAGGTTATACTGAAATATATTTCATATCCAGCCGGCTGCGGGGATTGCCAGTTTTTCTCCTTTCAAAGCAAAGGGAGGACGGAGGCAACTACTGTTTACCATCAGTGAGTGTGGAGGTGCCGTGTCTCCTGCGAGCTAATACTGCAGCGCCACTGACATTTGTAATTTGCCTGCAACAAGCTCCAGGGTGGTTGTAGTAACCACATTTTACAACATGATATCATTTTTACTTCATTTCTACATAATGCTCCTTTAAAATAATCTGACAAAAAGTTAATTCTCAACATGAGTAAAAATCAAAATAAAAAGTCACTGATTTGTTTTCATTTTGTAAACAAACAAATGTTTCAAGTGTTGTACAGATTAAAAGTGGTAAAAAAAACTGTAGTAAAAGTGTATTTTTAAACAGATTTTACCTCCAAGAAGCCGGATTTGATTCCAAATTATTTCTCATAGGCACCACTAGCTAAAATCCGGAGAACAGCAGGCGAGCCGCTTTACGGCATTTTTACAACACTTCACATCCATTTCCGGTATAAACACATGGGACGTCTGAGCTAGCTAAACACAGGGGTCAAAAGTTATGCTCCTGTTCTGTAACAGAAACGGAACATAACACAGAGAAATGGTAGGTCGGACACATTATTTACTATCGAGACGGGTGTATGAAACGCCAGCGTGCTTGGGAGTGGGTCATAAACTGCGATAACCCTATTTTCATAGCTAAGCTAACATTAGCATTCCTAGGATGTGTGACCCAACAGGACTCTACAAATCCCTTGTTTAGGTTTTACCTAACGCAACAGCCAAATCACTGTTTCTGTGTTTAATGGGTGATTTTTTTTAAATTTAATGTGAAAGTAGCACTTACACATTTGCAGAGCAGTTTTGTTTACATTTGCTGCAGCAGAGAAGCTTGTGAGGCTGACTGACTACATCACGTTTCATTATTATTATTTACCTCGACAGGCCAGCTCCATGGTGGCAGTGGGACTGGCTCTGGCAGCAGCTGGATTTGCAGGTGAAATCAAAGACAAGTTTATTAGTATTTTAATATCCATTAACCAGAGCAGTTTGTTTACGTTTGATGTGAACTGATTTAATTATACAACTTATTTTTCTTCTATTAAATAATATAAACAACTTTCAAAAGTTGAAGATTATTAGGGTGAGAAGCTTGGTCATCCAAGAGGGGCTCGGAGTAGTGTCGCTGCTCCTCCACATCTAGAGGAGCCAGTTGAGATGGCTCAGGCATCTAGTTAGGATGCCTCCTGGATGCCTCCCTGGTGAGGTTTTCCAGGCACGTCCAACTGGGTGGACACCTAAAGGAAGACCAAGGACATGCTGGAGGGACTATGGGTGTTTCTCAATGTCAAGGCGCCTGGCCTTGCGAGGCGATGTCTTGCGAGGCCAGGCGCCTTGCTTACGAGGACACGGCCCTTCCTTGGTCAAAGAAAACAGTTAAATGGAACAGACTTGCGTCACGTGACTGCGGCTTCCACGGCGGTCGCGTAACGTCACGTGACACGGGAGATAACGTTATATTTTATATGTATTAGTTTAAATATAAATACATAACAAGCCTTTTACTTTTTAAATTGTGTATATGTTTATTAAATTATATTCAAATATATATTGTGTTTTCATGAATATTGTTTAGTATCTGTTGTGTTATTTTTTTTTTTGAATGAAATAAAGATAGTAATAATAATAATAATAATAATAATAAATTAAAAATATAAGTGAGTTACTACACGCTAGCCACTGAAGCTGCAACTAATAAGCAACTAACCAACAATAGATAACTTCTTTGGATCTAAAAAAAATAAACATTTAAAATTAGCCGACTTACTTTTAAACTTGAAAATTGTACCAGAAGTAGCTGCCGGCTTCTAAACTGTCATCCTTTTGAAAATACTGCTGTGTATTCTGGGTAGTTTTTGACCAAGGCTAGGCTACAAAACACCTCTCGTGTATCCTCGCTCAGCTAGCTAAACGGCTAACAAACGGAGAACACACGCCTCGGTAGACCATGAACATTGGAACACGTCTTGGCAGCTCCCGATGACGTATCTCCTAGGCAACCGGGGCGGGGCCAAGACATCAAGGCAATGTTCCTTGGCATTGAGAAACACCCTATGTTTCTCAGCTGGCCAGGGAACCCCTTGGGATTCCCCCGGAGGAGCTGGCCCAAGTGGCTAGAGAGAGTAAAGTCTCGGCCTCTCGACTTAGGCTGCTGCCCCTGCAGTCAGACTCCGGATAAGCGGAAGAAGATGGACGACTGTTCTTATGGACTATATAAAGCAGGCATCTCCAAAGTGTGGCCCGGGGCCATTTGTGACACTTGGTGTGGTTTTGTGCGGCCCCCATTTGCATCTCTAGAAGTCTCTTCTGTAAGCTGTTGATGTAGATCGACACTTTCTAACATTTTTATGTTCAAAGTGTCCTTGATGAGCCTATTTCTGGAACAGTTTTGAGGAATGTAAATGAAAAAAAAATCACCTTAAAATGATTTGAGCTTTTCTAGAAGAAGACAAAACGACATATTTGAGGTTCCCGAGAACGTTTAACTTCACAGTTTTGTTCCACATCTTCAAAAGTTCAGACACCACTGATCAGGGTATCTGCAGGTTTAAGGGAGCCAAATAAGACCTTTTTAAAGGCCACTTTGACCAATTTTAAGCCATTTTTTAAATTTTATTTCTGCTATAATTTCCAGCTATTGCCTGGAACCGGTGCTAACCACGTCGCGAACGTGGGATTAGCCATCCAGTTACCGTTAAACTTCCACTTCCCCATGGCGCAAGCTCCCACTAGCTTAACCAGCTAATGTGCTCATCTAAAAATAGCCCCCTTTCACAACCAACTGAATGTGTACGGTTCCGCTTACGCCAACATCATACACAAAAAATGCTCATCACTAACTAGAAATTCACAAAAATCTCATAGAAATTAAATAATTTAGTTTATTGGGTCTTTGGTAATTTAAGACCTTTGGAAACTGTATTTAAGGATTATTTGTCATTTTTAAGGATTTTCAAGGCCTTAAATTTGGAAAAGTAAATTTAAGACTTTTCAAGGACCCGCGGATTCCCTGACTGATTTAAAGGGGACAAGGTGTTAAAAAAAGGACACTAGTTCTTTGTCTTCAAGAAGTGAGAAAGTGATATACGTGAAACGATCTCATGTCTGACCAGTAAAGAATCCTGGTGTGTAACTGAATAAAACAAAACAAAAATTAAGCTGTGAGTTTTTCAGATTTCTCAGTTAAAATTGGGATTATAAATGTACTTTTATAGTGACTTAGTGGTTCAGAGTCAGTGAACCTGCTGCTTTCTGAATGTAAACGAATGATCACTGTGGTGTCATCTAACAAAACAAGCATGTCAGCAATAAGGGAGAACAACTTTCCAAATATCTGCTGCTCACATCTGTTTGTCTACCAGGACGATACGCCATGCAGGCCATGAAACAAATGGAGCCTCAAGTCAAACAGGCACTTCAGAGTCTTCCCAAGACGGTATTTCAGTCTGGAGATATAGTAACATAAATGGGTCTTTCATTTATTCATTCACTCATTCAGCTTCTTATCACTTACACTATGTTGTTGCAGGCCTTTGGAGGAGGGTACTACAGAGGTGGATTTGAGCCAAAGATGTCAAAGAGAGAAGCGGCTCTGATTTTAGGCGTCAGGTATGAGAGCTCGCCTTCCTACAGGGCCTGACCTATGGTCTATGTGCAGCAAGTTCTCTGACATCTTTCATCGTTAGAGCCAAAATCACAATTATTCACACTAATTACTGTAATTGTTTCTGTATTTTAGTCCCACGGCCAACAAAAATAAGATTAGAGAGGCTCATAGGAAACTGATGATCCTGAACCACCCAGATAGAGGTAAGAGGAGGCTTGGAACCATCTCAACTGTTTTAAAGGTGCAGTATGTAAGGATATAGTGAGAAAATCCCAAGAGTCTAGTGTTTCAGTCATTTTGGGAGGAAGGTTATACTGAAACATATTTCATATCTGCGGGGATTGCCAGTTTTTGTCCTTTCAAAACAAAGGAAGGAGGGACGTAACAACTGTTCACCATCAGTGAGTGGGAGGGTGCGGTGTCTCCTGCGGGCTAATACCGCAGCGCCGACAATTGTAATTGGACGATGGCCAGCAAAAAGCTCCAGAGTTGTTTAAAGCGGTCGCAGTAACCAAATGTTACATAACTTTTACTTATTTTCTGCAAAACGCAACTTTAAAGTAGACAGCTAAATCATTTTAGCCAAATCAATGGCTGATTATTTTAAATTAACTTACTTACTGATGATGTAAATCTGCTTCATTCTTGACCCTCACTTATTCTGTTTGTGCAAGAGTCCTAAATGCTTGAAGGATCTCATTTTAGAGACGTTTAGAAACCGCTAGCATCACTGCTGTTGAGATAATATATAAAATAATGTTTTTCATCATTGAATGATGTGATTGTGAAGAACGTGCTTTTTATTAGTGAGGAGCTGATAAACCATAAAGTCACTTAACAGCTCTGTATCTGTAGGACTACAGATGGCTGTGAATCTGACAAGTGAACTATTTTAGTAAGCAAAGCTACAACAGGGTATCTGCAGGTTTAAGGGAGCCAAATTTAAGACTTAAGACCTTTTTTAAGGCCACTTTGACCAAATTTAAGCTATTTTTTAAATAAAATTTAAGCTTTAATTTCCAGCTATTGCCTGGAATTGGTGCTAACCACGTCGCAAATGTGGGATTAGCCATCCAGTTACCATTAATGTTGCACCTCCCCACGGCGCAAGCTCCCACTAGCTTAACCAGCTAATGTGCTCATCTAAAAATAGCCCCCTTTCACAACCAACTGAATGTGTACGGTTCCGCTTACGCCAACATCATACACAAAAAATGCTGAACACTAACTAGAAATTCACGAAAATTTTATAGAAATAAAAGAATCTTGTTTATTGGGTCTTTGGTAATTTAAGACCTTTGGAAACTCTATTTAAGGATTATTTGTAATTTTTAAGGATTTTTAAGGCCTTAAATTTGGAAAAGCTAATTTGAGACTTTTTAAGGACCTGCGGATACCCTGTAATAAAAATCACCATTTTAAGTAATTTTATTCATATTTGATCCGCAGGTGGATCTCCCTACATAGCAGCAAAAATCAATGAAGCGAAGGACCTGATGGATGGCCAAGCCAAGAAATAAAATGTTTAATTTTTTTTCTTATTCATGCTGATTTACTGAGCTAGCACTTCATTTTTTTAATTCTTCAATAAAATCACTGTAATAACTTGAAAATGGAGTTGTCAGTCATTATTTTGGATCGTCAGACAGATTCATCTTCAAGTCTCATAACCACTGTGTGAATTTGAAGTCCTCCCCTTTTCTGCTCGTGAGTAATGGCCTGTGTTTGATATAGCGCTTTCAAGAGTTCTGCAACCCCCCAAGGTGCTTTACAGCACAACCAGTCATTCACATGCTGGTGGCGACTAGCTACCCTACACAGGCGCCAGCAGCCCCTCGCCGGTGATCAGCGCGTTCACAAACGACTCCCATTTGGTTTCAGATCTACACAGAAGATCGAGTTTATTTAAGAACTACCTGCATACAAAACATATTGCACATCAACCAACCAGACGAACATTTAAAAAAAAAAAAGACAGTATACTGTATTTGACCCTCCCACCCCCAAAAAAAAACACTTCTGATGTCGCAACTGTCAGTAGTCCCAATTCATAATTTGTCTTAAAACAAAACTGGATTTGTATGTTTTAGTGTCAAGAACAAGAAAGTGTCATTTTTTAAATACTGTACACTTTTTTTCTAAAAAACAAATAAATAATCCAAATAAACCTCCTTCCTTAGAGGAACAGTCGTGACCAGTTTCCAGCCAGCCAGTGTGGAAGAACCATGAAAATGACATCGTTGTCCCCTGGGTCTGCTTTTCAGGAACATCAACACCAGAGCAGAGAAGTCCAGTTCTTTACAGGATTTTTGCAGTTTTAGGCATTAAGAAGTGGGCCCAAAAGGCTGAGCAAAGGCGCTCTTGACGGGTTTTATTTTGATTTTATTGGGTTTCTGAAGTCTCAGTATCCTTGTGAAACTTGATCAAACTGCCTGATGTTTCCAGGAAACCTGGTGGCTACATATCGGTGCAGCGTTTAACCGCTGCGAGCCAGTTTTCTCACTCAACTACAATCAGCTTCAACAGAAGTCGGTTACGCTTCAGTGCAAACAAAACGTCTCGTCTCGTCTCAGATATGCTGTAATAACATTTGTCCTATGATCAGAGTGGTTGCATATTAAAGAACAGGAAGCAGCTAATGTCAAACTCCTCAACAGATAAATATATAAAGGATAACGGGACCCCCCCACCCCACCCCACCCCCACAACATTAAGAGCAGACACCTGATTTTAGAGAGATGGCTCTGAAATCCTTTGAGGGCGTTTTGAGGGTTCGCCCTCACCGGCCTCTAGCGGAGACGCCTCGTCTGTGGCAGGTGAGGGAAACCGGGTCACGCGGAGAGATGTGGAAGGATTTCAGGTGGAGCGCAGAGCCAGGCAGCAACATGTTGAATCTACTCTCAAGGCACAACAGCTGATCACACGTGAATCAATTCTACTTGAGTTTGCGACAAACCTATCTGCAGCGTGGTAAGGCTCATGCAGATGTTCACTTTTCAAACTACCTCGGATGCAAAAAGCATCCTGGAGAAGACAAAACTAAAATAAAAAATATGTTGCCACGCGACAAAAAAACAGGCATCGTTGTAAAACTTTGCCAGAATTTAAAAAACAAACTGCTGCATTCACACCACAGAATGGATTTGAGAGGAATTCCTGTCTGCGTTGTATAAACACTGCTTTCAGCCAAACCTCCATCGGAGCTCTCGGTGAAGAGCAAGCTAAAGAGGTGTGTGTGTGTGTGTGTGTGTGTGTGTGTGTGTGTGTGTGTGTGTGTCCCTAAACATGTGTCTGACTATCTTTGGCAAGCTCGTACTGGAAGAACTACTGAGAAAGAAAACTAACTAGTAAAATGAACAGTTGAACAGATAAAGGTGTAAATGAGAGGTTACGGTCTTGTGCTGCAGAACAGGTTTCAAATATTTGTTAAGTAATAAAAAGGACAGTGCTTGTTGTGTTTAAATGTTTAGTAAACTTTGACGCCTCGCCATGGAGACGCAACCAAGTATCCCCAAAGGAGTCCAAATATTTGAAACCGTTTTCTTTGCTCCGGTCTAACTAGGAGAGTCCGTTAACGACAGGTTCCGGGTTCGAGTCCTCCGTGTGAGAGGCTTTGGCGGGCTTCTCAGGGGGAGACTTGGTGGCGCCGTTGCTCGAGCCGTTGGTGGTTGGCGGAGCAGACTGCGGACTGTGCTCAGCAATAGCCTCCACCTGACCCTGGATAGATGAAAGGAAGTTTTCAGCTAAAATGCGTTTAGGAAATGACCGCACTGCCATTTTTCTGATAGAAAGTTTCATTTGAGTTACGACTTTCTTCAAATCAAGCTTCAGCACAAAATTCACTAAGTACATAATCACTCACAAACATGGCCGAACGCGACATCACACCGTCAAAGCATTAAAGCTAACACTAAGGATGAAATCTGAAGGTAAGAACTGGATGTTCTTCAGGGCCGCCTGAATGATTCTTCACTCAAAAGCAGCCGTTACAACCAACGCCGACGCATTTTACAGGCTAGCTTTGAGTTACCCTAACTCTGCAAAGGCTTGTGTCATCAGAAACGTTCAAACAGGTTTTGAAAGAAGAGAACTTGAGCTTCCACGGCTGCAGTCTTACCACGATAAATCCCCTTCTGCTGCTTCAGGAACCCAGATATAAAAAACATGGGCCTGCGCAGCGCTACAAGAAAAAAAAAACAACTAAAGCTGGGCGGACACTGTGCGACTTTTTCACTCGTAGCACTCATCTTCAGCTCACACTGTACGACTTCCTCGCAGGGCAGATCTCACGAGTCATGTGCTCACACTGTACGACCCAGTTCTCGGATGCGACCTGACTGCTCACACTGTACGTCTGGTAGCAACACGTCGGACCTAAAAATTAGCTAAAAATAGCAGTTTTACTAAACACGTCAGACTTTTTTGTCTTGTTTTGCCTGTTGTCCTTCGGGAGTGCTGCAGGAGGACACACGGGGATTTATGGGGGTTGGATGAGGAAAACAAAATAAAGTAAATCTGTGTTTTGTGATCAGTTTAATTTGACATGAACACGACAAACACGCTTTCTTGACAATCTTTGTCACTGTGTGTAAAAAAAAAAAAAAACCTTTAGAAATAAAAACGAACAGCGTGTGTTATTAGGGAAATAGCGGGCGAGCGGTGTTGATGCAGGACTGCGCATGCGCCGTGAGCGGTTCTGGTACTTTTTGGGTCGCAGCGCTGCTTCAACAGTGCGATACCCTCACGAGGGACGAGCAAAATATCAAACACGCCAGAAGTCCGTGCGAGCTCACGATTGCTGATCGGTAGCTGGTCACGTGGTGTTAATCGCCTCTCGTAACCCCCTGTACACTACACGACGCTCAGCGCAAAACTCGCCCCGATGTCGTGGATTCTCGCACGAGTGGAAAATCGGCTCAAAAAAGTGAAAAAGTCGCACAGTGTACGCCCGGCTTAAAAGGAGCCGAAGCTTTGCTCCTTCAGCTCTGGCATTGGCCGATTATGTTTGTCGGAAATCGAATTGTCGACCAGAAAACAAGTGATCATTCAGCTCTATAAGACAGTTTCTTGCTTCTAAAATAAGAGATTCTCAGTCGAACACCAGAGATGCTCACTTTACCAGAATTACCACTTTATAGAAACTAACGGACATCTGTCGGCAGTCACATGCAGCATGGCGGTACTGACCACATCCTTGGGTTTCTTTGTGTCCTTGGTGTTTGTCTGCCTGCTCTGAGATTCAGCCCTGGATATGTAGTCAGCCACGGTCACTGCACAAACACCACAACACCTCTGGTAAGGCACCGGGGCAGAGAACTTATGCCACATCCGCCCCAGTTTTCACAACATCAGTTGGACTTCCATTTGTGCAAATTACAACGCACAGACATTAGTGAAGCTTGCAGAGTCGGGAACACCGGACACAAACATCAGCGAGGACTGATGAAGTATTTTAAGTTAACTTAAAAATGTAACTCTTGCTACGGCAGAATCGCAACGCAGATAGTGAGTTTAGAGTAAAACAAGTTCAGGCTGGAAAAGCAGTGGTTCAAATCTCGCATTTTAATAGAAGCACAACTGTTAGATGCTGTTGGACAAGAAGAAACCTCTTAGTTTTCCAAAACCGCCAACAACGCTCATGCCAGTTAATTCTGCACCTGCAGCTCAGTATGCAGTGTTCTGTTTGATGCCACTAAAGCTGCAGCCTGGAGAACACACACCAGCGGTTGCCATTGGTTACCTGGCTGCCTCTCCTCTGGCAGGTGGGCGCGGCGACGCCGGCTACGGTTGCGGCGCTGAGGTTTTACATCTAGGAGTTTTAGGTTTTCAAAAGCAGAATGATTGGTGTCTTCAACATTAAACGCTACCGTAAACTGCAGAAGCTTCTCCTACTGTCAAAATGCTGCTCTGATGACAACACCTAGCAATGCCACTCTGATTACATTCAAAGACGACTCATCCATCCTCCATACCTAAGCCATTTTCACTCAGCGAGGCGTTGTCAGACTCGCTCATGCCATCCATCAGAGTGGCATCTTCATCTGTTCTGCGACGCCGTGACCTTCGGCGGCGGTTTGCTGGCAGGTTGGACTCGCTGGCATCGGTGTCAGCTGTCTGGTCCGTCTCAGTGTTTGCCTCCAAGGTTCCATAGGGTTGGTAGTTGTCATGGTCCCGAGGCGCTGCAGAATTATATTCAGAATGACAGACAGCAGGCTGCAGTTACACAAGACAGCAGGTGACTGGGTGCGCTTCAGAAGGACAAGCCTTAAGGTGAATTTTACCAGAACTGTAGTTGTATCCTCCTCTGCCTCCTCTCCCCCTTCCTCCAGGTCCCCCTCGACCTCTGCCAGGTCCCGGCCTTCTACGACCATCTCTTTGTGGCCGAGCGCCTCGTTCTCTCTCCCTGTAAGTCCAAAAAACGAACGTAGAGGCCCTCAAAAAACAACACATTTAGACTTGTCAGCTCGTTGAGTTTCAGTGTGGAACATCGCTCACCCATCCTGATCCTCTCCAGCAAGGGACCAATCGCTGAGCTCATCCTTGCGCTCTGAATCGGTCTCAGAGGCATTGGACTGCTCCGAGTTGGTGCCTACATTTAATAAGATGCAAAAGAAGACGAGAAACTTTGGACACTACGAATTCAGCGTTTCCCTTCTTGATAAATGTGAAAGTGTCTCATTTAAGGATCAACGGTTGATTTTGCGTGGCTTCTTATTTAAAGCTAGTTACCGTATCCGGTGCTGTAGCTATGGCCTCTGCGTCCACGCCCCCGGCCGTTGTAGGAGCGGCTACCACGTAAGGAAGATGAAGGCGTACCGACACTGTTCTCGGTGTTAAATCCTCCTCTCTCTCCCCTATCGCCTCGCTCCCGGTCAGCTGGCCGGTAACCCTGGGTGACCTGACGTAACTGTTCATCAATCTGCATCCGCTCCAGACGAAGTTGCTCAACCTCCTTAGAGAGAGCAAATACCAAGAACGGAGAAAACTTAAGAGATACGAGAACAAAGGGTGATTCACAGGCTTTGGTGTTCTAAATAAAAAACTATCTGGCAAAGCTGACACTGGACACACGTGCAGAATCATCACACACACATCTACATCACATCCAGTGCGCCTTGAGCTTTTCATTCTGAAAATTGCTAGGCTGCTTCCCTGCGTGTAATCCACAATCTGCCTCAGTTCTTCCTCTAGCTGCTGGCCTTCTGCAAGAAGCTCCCCCATGGCCTACACACATTACAAAGCAAACATGAAGCAGCACAAAACATGCTAAATGTTCACGACTAAACACACAGATGAGCAGCACAGGGACGGTCATGAGACTTAAGCCTGATTCATGCTTCTCCGTCTGCGTCAGTGCGGAGACACGCAACATCCTTGCGGGCCTGCTGGAGAGCCCGGCAAGGACGGACGGAGTCGAGCTCTCTTTTCTAAACATCCGTCAGTCGAGACGGACAACGCAAGCTTGTGGTTGGTCAGGACGCCGCTGTCGTCTACACCGCCGCCATTGCGCCCTCAAAAACATAAAGACAGCCGAGGATAACTAGCGGCAGACACGGAGAAGCTTGAAGAATACCTCGCGAAAAAACTCTAAAAACAAGAACGTTTAATTCCCCCGTGACAGGAGGAGTGAAAAGATGTGCAGCAAGAGTTTTATTTGTGGACGGAAATGACAGGAAACGTGGGTTTAGAGGTGGCGAGCGCATGAAGAGGTGGGAGAACGAGAGACAAATATGCCCGTGTTACAAAGTCTCTTATATAAACAAAAAACACAATATAAACACACTATCTTGGACCGATACATGACAGGATACCACAGAACAGCGCTACGCCCTCTGCTGTCCTGGAGGGGAATTGCTTTGCAACACTCCCCAGGAGACGGAGAAGTATGAGAGCAAAACGCTTCCGTCAATCCGTGCGTGTCTGTCCCTTGCGGAGCTGACGGAGAAGCATGAACCAGGCTTTATTGTAAAACTGGAATCATGTCATTTATCACGTTAAAGATAATACATCATGTTTATCGCTTCCTCAGCCAGTTCAGGGTAAAAACTGCTGCTTACAACCTACTTGCATGCAGTGAGAAAAGATGTCCATTACGCAAGCAGAAGTTATGGAATAAAGAAAAGCACTGACCTGGAAAAAGCTCTAAACTCATTCTGACGTTTAGTGGGAGAAAAAGAAGGCTGAACACAAACAAACAGTCCAACACACACTTTGGCATCTTACGTTCAGATATGAGATGTGGTACTCCAGCAAGACCTGAACGTTGCCAATGCTCTCCTTAGTGCCGACAAAGGTAAATGGGACCATTCCCTGTGTCAACAGAACACAAACCCACACCATGCATGTTAGTATGAGACTGTAGGGATGTTGGTAAAATATCACATTGCCATTTTTTTTTCCTAACGCGGCTAAATTCATAACGATATCGAAAAAAAATACAGGAGCTGTTAACAAATGACTTGAATAGCCTTTAGGTTATGCAGCACTCCTGCCGTCTTCTTAACATTTACCCTGTTAGGGTTTTACAGACCGTCAAATGTAAAAGACGAAGAAGCTCCGCCCTTAAACAAGACTCTGGCTGCAAGAATCGATGGATTTGATAGCAGGGATTTGAAAACCATCGAGAACATCAGGTGGCCCCAACGGATCTCTGACCGTGTGCTAAGAGAACGCACACGCCAACGAAGAGCGTCATGCCTGGCAGCGCAACGCCGCACCCGCTGGCTCCGCCATGATCGCCACTTCCGCAGCTGGTTAACCTGGTAGGCTCAACGCACCGGAGCAGGACGACCCCGACCCCTTGCAGGAGCCATGATGATGATGATATATAAATATTGTCCCCCCCCCCCCCCCCCCCCCCCCCCCCCCCCCCCCCCCCCCGTTCAAATCAGTGTGTGTAAATGGTAAATGGCCTGCATTTGATATAGCGCCTTCTAGAGTCCTGGAACCCCCCAGGGCGCTTTACAACACAATCAGTCATTCACCCATTCACACACTGGTGGGGATGAGCTACAATGTAGCCACAGCTGCCCTAAGGCGCACTGACAGACGAGGCTGCCAAGCACTGGCGCCACCGGTCCCTCCGACCGCCACCAGCAGGCAGGTTGGGTTAAGTGCCTTGCCCAAGGACACAAGGACCGCGACAGACCTGCAACCTTCTGATTACTGGGCGGGCACTTAACTCCTGTGCCACCGTCGCCCTAGTGTTTGCTGCAAAATAATTCAATCATAAACGTGGATGTAAGAAATTAGATGCACCGACTTCTAATATGATGTGTCATGATGCAGAATTGATATTTAAAAGCAGTTTATTACATTTCTATTGAGAATTTACACACGAGCATTTACAGACGCAACTCACACTCTGACAGCAGCTTTTACCACCTTCGTTCTGATGGAACACGATCTCGTGAGAACACTGGACATGTCTTTAAATTGTTTTGGTGGCCTGAGGATCGGGTCTCTGCTTTTTGCAGATGATGTGGTCCTGTTGGCTTCATCAGAACGTGATCTGCAGCTTTCGCTGGAGCGGTTCGCCGCCGAGTGTGAAGCAGCTGAGAATCGGCTCCTCTAACTCCGAGACCACGGTCTTGAGTCAGAAAAGGATAGAATGACTTCTCCGGGTCAGGGATGAGGTCCTGCCTCAAGCGTTTAAGTATCTGCTTCCTCAAAGTGACCGCTGCATGTCGGATACCCTTAACAGCTGAGAACACGCCCAGCAGCAGGAACTGTGATGGCGTCGTCGTGCACACGCATGTTGCAGTGCTGATGCCCAAACACAACATGCTGCTCCTGTCTGAATCCACGAGCAAACTTCATTTCAAATGAAAAAGCTTTCAAAATCTCTCACGTGCAATATGATCTGATGATTTATGTTTATTTATTTAGCAGACGCTTTTATCCAAAGCGACTTACAATTTATAACCTATAGGGCATGTTGTGATCTGTGGGGGAAACCGGAGTACCCGGAGGAAACCCACGCATGCACGGGGGGAACACGCAACTCCACGCAGAAAGGCCGCAGCTGAGCCGAGTTTCGAACCTGCAACCTTCGTGCTGCGAGGCAACAGTGCTAACCACTGCGCCACCATGCAGCGGTTTATTTATGGGAAACTGGATGTGTTATGTTACGAAGTAGCAGGCTTACCTCCTGCCGGGGCTGCTTGTTGTCATTGTCCCCCTCTATTCTGACTCTCACCACGCCAGACTTGTCCACAATCTCCTGGATGACCTTACCGTTCTTCCCAATCACTTTACCTACAGATGCAGGGAAGAAAATGCATTTAACGTCTACATAATGAAACAAGAGTTAGAAGAAAATGACAATGGTAAATAAAATATTCTGTCATTTTCGCAGTAAGGCATTTCTATCGTTTAACTTACAAAAAACCTCTAATGATGAAGAATAGCTAAAACCCTTACACCACATTAATGCCTTAATGTGGTCCTAATTAGGAATGCAACGATACCACTCTTTTCCAAACCGATACTTGGATCGGAGTACTCGCCGATACCGATACTTCTACGGCACAAAAAATGCAATGATTTGGAATACAGGTTTTATTTTCTTCTCTGCTTTCAACAGGAAAAGACTGTGAGGTAGATAAAAAGTAAAATATATGACTAGAAATCCTTACAAAACTAAAATATTAGGTGAACAGAAATGACAAGTTACAGTGAAGCCATTTTCAAGCAACTGCATTGGTATCGGTTCCTGGTATCGGTTAACTTTTACCGATACCGATACTGGTATTATAAAGTGAGTAGAACTCATACCAACAAGGTTTCTTGGCACCTGGACCGAATCTTCCACAAATTCCAAGAAGTTCCTGGCCTGCTTTACGGCCTCCTCTGTCTAAATGAAAACACGTTTAGTCCACAGTTAGAATCCAACTAGCAAAGCAGGTCTCATCGCAAAAAACGTCACCAAACTGTATTTTACATATTTAAAGTGTTGGAGGTACGCCCCAAACACACAATCACTAAATGAAGACGGGTCTCAGATCTTTGTTAATAAGAATTTCACATTTTTGTGCCCGACTGAGCAACGTGCATCACACTACCTCTCCATAAATCCTGAAAGTACCAGTCTCCTCATCCAGCTCGATGGCAGAGACACCTGGAACCTTGCGCGCTTGCTGGATGTTGCTTCCGTGACTGCCGATAGCCAGCCCCATCAGGTCTGGTCTCACTGTGAACTCCTGTTGGAAGGATGACACCAGCTGCCTAGAGGTCTGCAAGGCCCAGGGGGGGGGGGACTATTAAAATCTTAAAACTTAACTGTTCTAATTAACAGTAAGTCTGTTTACCAAAAATATTTAGATTTATTTTCCTCTGTCGCTCATTAGTGCACTTTATAAGCCTCCTTTGTCCAGCCTCGACTAAAGAGCTTCATGTGTGCCCCGTTGGCTGTCTGAAACATTATTTCTTGTCACCAACTGACCTCCAGGTGTTTTGTGGCCTCCTGGTTGCGTGACATCAACAGCAGCTTGGTTCTGAGGCCGCGTAGGTGCATGTCGCTCAGCAAAGACACACGCTTCACCGTTGAGTCATTGGTGGACTTAACACACAAGAACACAGGAAATAATAGAAATATTTACACAAATATACACAAAAAACTCACAAAACATACTGGGAAGATGAAAAGTGCAGCAGCACTGGTGCTATTAAAGGCAGGAGGTTGTAGAAAGCTCTAGTTACCACAATCACTAGCTCACTGGTCTCAGGGCAGTACGTGATGCGACAGGCTCCCACCGCTTTCTTAAAGTCTTTATGTGCGTTCTCACCCTGACACCTGAAATACAACAAACACTTAAAGTAAATGTCTCATCTGACATTCAGGTGATTCCACTACATTTGTCAGAAAACCTTTAGTCTCCTTTCAGAAACAACATTTTCTATGAGATTCCATTAAATACTCCCATAAATGTGGGTCATTGATTGAAAACCAGATTTGTTCATTTGCAAACACAAAAAAGTGATTTTCCTAACAAATCCATTCAAGCCCATGTTGCAAAAATGAGTACATCCCAATTATTGTCTTAGGAGAAAAGCCACACATAAGATTACAAAATTCTAATTAACAGGCGTTAAATCACAGGTGAGTCTGAGGATTCGTTTAGGTGTCCAGCAGACAGGTGACTATAAAAGGGCATGACTTAAAGAAACGCCCTTCCCATTTCATGCTGTCAGCAACGGCTCCACAGGTAGGAGAAACTGATTACTATTACTTTTTAAATAAATTAATTTATTTGGTTAATTATTTATCTATTTATTTTATGTATTCTTTCTTTATACGTGCTATTTTTAAAGTTTTTTTTACCATAGGTTTATGATCAACATTATCTTAATATCTAAATAACTTTGCATATTACAATTTTCATTTTAGCTCTATTGATTTTATATTTTAACCTTATTTTAACCTTTTTCCAGTGTTTCCTCTGTGGGTGCCCTCTGCCCCGGGGGCGGTGGTCAGCTGTGGTGGCCTGGGTGCTTTCCAGGTGTGCCTGGGTAGAGGCGGGGACCCCCGCCCTCCCTGCCCTGGGCGCCCTGTGTCGGTGCCTCAGCTGCTGCTGTGGATCTGCTGCTGTTGGGGCGGATGGCTCCCCTGATGGCGTTTCCTTATCCTTATCTTAGCTGGTCTGGCTCATCTAAACTCAGTCCGTGTTTTTTCCGCGTGCGTGTGTGCGCATGAGTGCCGGAGGATGAGTGTTGTGAAGGGGTTTTTATTGTCAGACTGTTTTTAAAATTCTGGGGATGGGAGGGAATGTGGGCTTGCGGGGGCCTTTTTAATTTGTAAAGCACTTTGAGTTGCATACATTGTGGGATTAAGTGCTATATAAATACAGTTGACTGACTGATTGAAATGTCAAAAAATTTGAGAGGAAATACTTTCTTTACACAAAAAAGGTGATGGCTACAAAATCAGCAAAGCTTTACACATCAGTCAAAATACTGTAGCAACGGTGAGCCAAAAGTTTAAGAAAGATGGAAGTGCGAGACGCCCAGGCCGTCCACGGAAGTTAACATCTGGACAGGAGCGTCTTCTGGTGAGATGGGTTGAAGAAAATCACCATGCAAGTTCACTGCAGTTAGCTAAAGCAGTAGAAAGCCAAAGTGGAGTGACCGTTTCCCGTGACACCATACAGTTCACACTGCACAGGAATGGCATACATCGGTATCGTCCACAAAGGAAGCACACCTAGGATTATCCAGGGCCCATGCTGAAGAGATGAAGACTACTGGGACTCTGGAGTGATGAGACAAAGATCTCTGTTTTTGGAACTAATAGTTTCAAAACTGTGTAGCATTGTAAAGGTGAGGATTTCAAAGAGAAATGCATGGAGCCTACAGTGAAGCACGGCGGTGGCGGTGTCCTTATGTGGGCTGCATGAGTGCTGCTGGTGTTGGGGAGCTGCATTTCATTGAAGGCATCATGAACTCAACAATGTTCTGCTCTATACTGAAGGAGAAGATGCTGCCATCACTCCGTGCACTTGGGTCGTCGTGCACTTTTCCAACACGACAATGACACAAAACACACATCTGAAGCTACTGTTGCATTTCTGAAGAAGAACAGGGGGTGATTATGTACGTCTCCTGATCTGAACCCAATCCAACAGCTGTGGGGAATTCTGATGCAGCAAGTTGAGCATCACTCTCCATCCAGCATCCGGCTCTAAAAGAGCTTCTTCTTGAAGAATGGAAAAAGATAGATGTTGCAACATGTCGCCATCTTGTTCATTCCATGCCTAGAAGACGTGGTGCTGTCCTTGAGAATCACAGTGGTCAGACAAAATACAATATAGTAGTTTTTGTTGTGGGGTGTTTTCATTTTTGCTTTGAAGATTTTGTGATCTAAGTTATTTTATTAACCTTAATTTCATGTTGTGGAGTTAAACAAGAGTTCAATAAAACCCAGCCTTGGGAAAACACTGGAACTTTTTCTTTTGAGCTACTGATTAAATTCATACTTTTTAAAGGGGGTGTACTCATTTATGCTGAGCACTGTATGTCAGACTGTAGCTAATATTTAACACAAATACTAGAAGTTAGTTCTATAACTTCTAACTTTGTACATCTAATGCTGAAACGTTAATGATGCTGTACGCACGCTTCTTGCAGATCCTGAGGAACAGGGACAGTGCACTTGTGAAAGGAGTTCTTGGTAATGGCCTTGTTAGGGTTGACTGGTCGCAGACGATCAAAGGTAACAATTTCGTTGTAAGTGGCGTCACAAGCTGCATACTCAATCACATAGAACTGAAAAATAAAAGTAGGTTGAATGATTTTAGACAGAATGATAAAACAAGATAAATCTGATTTTAAATCCAACAAGGTTTTGTATGTTCTTTTACATTTGTAGCACTGCAACAGCTTAACTTTGTACATGAAGAAGAATACTCACATCTCCCTTCATCATGCGAACTTTAGCTAGCCACCAACCACAAGGCTCCTGTTCATTGGCTCTGGAGAATATCTGCCATGAGGTGAAATAAATTAAAGAGTAAGACTCAGACAAGATAAAAGAATAAAAGGTTTAACGTAGCAAGTGTCTACCCCACCTCCACCTCCTCGCCCTCTCCGATCTCCTTCTTGGCATCAGCAGGCGGTGGCAATCTGACATCACTGAAGGGCACCTGGCGTTCTGGCTGCCAACTAAAATACAAACCTCTAATGTCACAACTTGACTCTCTCACAAATCTTAACTTGATGTTTTACAAAAACACAAGAAGGGTACAAGAAACGGTGGCTTACTTGTTCTCAAAGGCAATGGTGAGAGAGTCACCGTGGACATCTTTGACAAAGCCCTGCAGGACATAGACAAGCAGGTGAGTGACTAGTGTGCCACTTCTTCCTTTAAAGTTCCTTTGAAGTTTTCTAACTGAAAACCCAGTGACCCCCACACCCCCACCCTTTATTCCGTCTCTGTTTTATTAAACATTTACAGTAGAGCCATAGATATAAATACATAGATTGGGCTATGTATAGATGGGGGGGGGCAAGTTTGGCTGGAGATCACACTTGTTTTAGTGCTCTAGTTACAGACATCGTATCTGTAGACGCGATGTAGACTGGCACTGCCTAGTGGAGCTGCTGTAACAGCAGGTCCTCATCTTGGATGGGTCTCCATCCACCCCCTGTGCATTTATTTCTACTGAGGAAGGTGCTTACCCGACTAAAACACATTTTATTATGCTTTTCACAAAAACAGACATATGGTACGTAGGGTTGTCACGGTAACCGGAATAGCGGTAAACCCCGGTAAAAAAAAGTTGACAATAATAATAACCGTCTTGTTTAAAAAAAAACATATATTATCTCGGTGGGTTACCGTGGCTGCGGTGTAGCGCGGTGACCCTTACCAGCCACCGTATCATCTGCTGAAGTTGCCGGCGGCACATGCTCGTTTTGTTGTTTACAACCAAAACTTTCTTGAAGCTAAAGCTGAAATAATGACCAGAGGAGGAGACGGCAGCACTCAGGACATTTTTTATCCCTCAAGGAAGACAAAGTGGGAAGTACGGGCATCTTTTGGATATTTGAAGAATGCCGAGGGACAGTTTATAGAAGATGGACGGCTATCCTGTTTGCAGCACGTGCAGAAAAAGTGTCTGTGAAAGGCAGCAACGCCTCAAATCTCATGACACATCTGCGTGACCATCACCCACAACTCTACAGTCAACGCAAGGCAAGCTAACGTTAGCGTTTTAGCTAAAATGCGTGATCCGAGGATTTGGGTTGAGGGAGAATGCAACGAGTCGCTATATAAAGCAGCCGCAGCGCCGCTACCTGCATATAAACCGTGTCGCAGACACCCCCATGTTGAAATGACGCTATGCATTACGGGGCTCCCAGGGGCAGATAAGAGTTGGTCTCTCTCTGAGAATAATTATGAATTTATGACATTTTCCCAAATCTGCAAAGCTCACTGGAAGGACACAAACTGAGGACAATATTTTCCTGATATAGGGTTTATTACTCAAATAAGGGTAAAAAAGTATCTGATTAGAAAGCTACTTGAGTACTGAGTATCATCTGATCTAATATTTTTAAAATGATGACATCAAATAGACAAAAGATAAGAAGTTATGGGCAAATATTGGTATTTTAAAGACTAAAGGGAAAAAATGTAAACAAATAAACAACATAATTACAAAATAACACATTTTAGGCAAAATTTAGACACAAACTGAGGACAATATTTCCTGACATACAGGGTTTATTTAATTGTGTGAAAATGTAGCACGTTTAAAAAAAATACCGCGATACCCCCCGCACCGTGAGAACAAACATCCCAGCTCCAAGGCCGATCTTTATCCGCGTACGTCACACGTCACGTGATCAGGAAGCAGAAAATCCATGTGTGAGGAGATCGTTTTGGGCCGCTGCTGTAAAAAAGTGAGGCACGAACCGGAAAAGCTTCTGCCGATCACAATTCGACAACCGATTATGAAAGAACGGATAACGCTGGAAACACACGGATTCTTCCTGATGTAAGAGGTGAGTCTCCTCTTTGTTTTGGTTGTTTTGGCGTCGACATCCGGAACTTTCCGGAACTGCACTACTCTGGGTGGCTGTATGTTGGAGTAGCTCTGTTGATTATATGCAAGTTTTGCCTTTTCTTGGACATTTTTTCTTCTAGTTTCTCAAGAAAAACTGTATTTTTGGACACTTTGCTTTTCTGTTTCTGGTGCTGTGAAGCTTGGGGGATTTTTACTGCTATTTTTTAGCTTTTTTCACTTTTTGAGCAGTTGTTATGATGCGTAACCATGGCAACAGTCTGGTTTACAATCGGTAGCAGCTGATTAACATTGGAAAGGCTAAAATAATACCTCAACTGAAGCCACAAATCCCAAATGAGCTAAAACGCAAGAAGCCTGGGTGCAGAGTGGGAGCAAAACGGAGACAGAGAAAGAGGAAATTCAAACCATCTCTTCCATCGATCATAATGGGCAACATGAGATCACTGGCCAACAAGATGGAGGAACTCCAAGCCCTTTCAAGGACTCAGCCAGAGTTTCGACAGTTTCAGAACCGCTGGAGGAGATAATGCAAAGAAGGATTCTCCAGATAATCAAGAAGATTATGGACAACCCTGAGCATTCTCTTCACAAGACTGTCCGACAACGGAAGAGCGTCTTCAGTCAGAGGCTTCTTCAGTTTCGCTGCAACACTGACCGCTACTGGAGATCCTTCCTGCCAACAGCCATTGTGATATACAATAACTCTTTGATGACTTGATTATTATTATTATTCTGAGCTACTACAGCAATCAATTTCCCTCTGGGATTAATAAAGTATTTTTGAATTGAATTGAATCATCCTAGAGCACAACATTCTGCACTTGTCATTCTTTTAAATTTCTAGAGACCACTTTATCAATGTGTCATCATTACTGGTATTACAATTTCTTCACACTGTGTATTTATTTCAAGCTCAATAAATATATTTGAGAGTAAATGAAGAACGGTTCTAAATCAAGTGGGATTAAAGGGCAGACTGGTTCTTGTGCCAAGTTTAATAAACATTTTCTAATTTAAATTCATCTTCATTTGATTGAATTTCAAAATGAGCTTTTGTTTTGTATTTAAAGAGCAAGTCACCCCCTACCAGAGTATTACTCCACTCCCACTTCATGTTTGAAAAATGCAGCAAATGCTCTTGCCAAGCAGACCGAGAGGGCGGAGCTGCTAACAAATACACACACACACACACAGGCTCAAAACGACATTAGGACATCATATCGTACCAGCTAACATTCTAGGGTACCTCTTAGCCAATAGCGATGGCAGATTTAAATTCAACTGCAGTGCAGTGTTAACCTGACAATGGCACAACGGACAGTTTTAGGCAGAACATTTACATTTTAACTAAAATGCACTAAAGTGCTAAACTATTGACTACACGTGTCCGCAGCACAATTAGACAAGCATTTATATAGTTTATCAGAAAAAAAAAGTTCATTTAGGGGTGACTTGATCTTTACTGCATCTGAATGGCCCCTCAAGTAATCTATATAGTATCAAATCTATACCATGTGGAGCAGAACAGATGTGATTTGGGAGATTGTTTGCAGTAAATCATCAGATCACAACAATGCTGACTGGACTTTCATCTTAAATCAGCAGTCGTGGGGATGAAACCCAAGAATTCTGATATTTATATTCGAAAGTATATTTAATCTCTTTTGAGGAACAGCCTGCGGGTCTTTTATAAAAGTCATGTGACAATCTTGTCTGAAACTGTGTGGCAGGGACTTTACAGAGAAAAGAACGTCACACCTTCACGTAACTCACGAGTTTAAAAGATGCAGTGTAACTGGGAATGGCTGAGGTAAACATATGAGCAAAAAGGAACAGTGATCTCGGTATTATAATGAGCTGCATCACCGGGGGCATGGGGATGAAACGAAACCGAGAGAAGTGAAAGAGAAAATACAAAAGTATCACTTTAGGGCCGAGGTCTAGAAATAGCTTACAAGTGTACAATATCACCGAGGCTCTGCTGACATGCCAACTGCTCTGGACTGACAGGGAACAGCTGGCACACATAGCGAAGATGGCCTGAACATGATCAAGTATCAAATAATAGACGGTGACAGGAAGATATGGTAGTCTGTGAAGAGCGTTGCAGGCGTGGTGCTTTCTGAACGCCGTTAGTAAAAAATAAAAATAAATAAAAAATACCCTCCAAACCAATTATGTGTTGTTATTCTAAAACGAATAAAACGTCAACCCCGACAAGGAATACATGTTTAACGGATAGCTTTATTCAACTATTAGACGTCAACAGTTTGCGAGTTAGCTAACTTTTAGCTAATGACCGTTACAGTCACGGGAATGCAAAAAACCAGCTTTCACGTGTTTAATATCTGAGGTATAACGGAAAGGACAGTGATTCCTCTCATTTGTGTTGGGCAAAAGTCGATAAAACAAAACACTTGGCAAAAACAAGCGACCGACGTTAGCTTAGCCTGCTAATTTTGGCTAGCTGCACTTTAACAACAAACAGTTCGAGGACTCAAAGACACTCGGAACACGTAGTTACGGTCCTCGAAACTTCAGCTAACAGTCTGTATTGGGTAACGAAGTGCTACTTTTACAGCTGTGATGATATGCCGGTATTTACCTTATAATAAGCGCCGTTGGAGCCACGGACCTCCACCGCCAGTTCTTCCATATTGGACACGCAAAGGATGCCGGGACGACAGGTGTTCATTAGGGCTCCGATAGAGAGGAGAGGCATGTTGTGGCGTTAGAAACTGTATTTTTGTGGTTTACATTTAAAATTATGATTGTTATTTAATGCTTTATGTTTGTGGGTTTCCTTTTAAGTTTCATATTTAATGCCCCACATCACTGGGGATATTTAACACGTTGTTTTATGAAGATGTTCAAAAGCATCATTCTGTAAAATGTAATGAGAATAATGTAAGAAGAGTCATTAAAATGAGAACATATTTCACATTTAATGATACACATGTCAGCTGAAATGCCACATTCAGACTAAGTTCACTACAAACAAACAACAGACGTGTGTCTGGCTTAAGATCACACATGGAATGAGTAGAAATCTTCATTGCTTCCAGGTATCACATCCAGAACATTCCGTTGAAAATATTCTCTCATAGAAGCTTAGACCTTCATGAAATAGTAACTCCAAAGTGAAGGCTTCTCTGGTCTGCTTGGTAACGAAATCATAACTAGGTTGTCATGAGTCGGGGTGAGTACTCGTCTCACACATTCCACCTTTGAGTTGTGTTTCAGGAGAGGGAGGCTTCCAGCTGCGCCAGGTTAGCAATCGGGGGGACCGGCTACTTAAGGAGTTGGAGAACACACCTCGACGCGGGATGGTTACTACAGCTCGGTAGTTTCCAGCTTTCTAGTGTTGCAGTGATTTTGTGCCTCTTGTGTTTTTGGCTTATTGATCTATGTGGATTTTTTTGTGCTCACACCTTCTTCAGGATTTTAGGAACATCTCTGGAGTAGAGACTTCTCAGGATTCAGTGACTCATCAGGATACTCACCTTTGCCACATAACCCTTCAGGATGCAGCTCTCTGCTGTTCTCCATTCCTCCATCCAATCCGCTCACCTGCTCTCTCCACGCTCCCTCTCCTGGACCTCCTCACCCGGACACACCCCGACTCTGGACCTGCCCTTCCCAATACCTACACCTCCCAAATTCCCTATGCTGCGCTCCGTTTCCCGACCTCCACTGGAATTCCCAGTGCGCCTTATGTTCTCGTTCTAAAATAAACATTCTTTTTTTTTTTCATTAAATCAGTGAGTTTATTGTGATTGCATGTCCTGGGTTAAACGCCTTCCCCAGACCATGTCAGAATCATCCCGCCAACCCGCTAACCCTGCAGACACAACTCTCACCGATCATCTCCATAGGGTGTCCCAACAGGAGCAGACGATGCCGCTGCAAATGAAGCAGCTTAACGCAGCCCAAAGTCGTTGCCAGCAGCTGGAGGCCCTGGTGCGGCAGATCCACAACCGAGTGTCTCAGCCGCAGACTCCTAGAACGGAACCTCAGGCGGCCGCTCCAGTTGCCTCCGGACCGGAAGTTCCAGTTCCCACAGAGATCACCCACTTCCATCCAGCCGCTTCTCCTCCATCCCAGACATTCGGCGGTGAGTTCAAGGACTGCCATAGCTTCCTCCTTCAGTGTCGTCTCGCATTTGAACGCTCACCAGGAGCTTTTTCCACAGACTCAATTAAAATGTCATATATTGTTGGACTACGTCATGGACGAGCCCTACGGTGGGCTGAAGCTAAGAGCCATTGTGCCACTTTTCTATTAGGACCTCATGATGAGTTTTTAACGGACTTCACACAGACTTTTGGACAGACCGAATTTGTTTTGGATATTAGGAAGCGACTCTGGACATTGTCACAGGGTCGACGATCAGTGGCGGACATGTCTGTGGAGTTCAGGACTTTGGCAGCAAGGACTTCATGGAACGAAGAAGCACTAATTGCTGCGTTCACAGAGGCTCTCAGTGATCGAGTCCAGGACCAGTTGGCGTTGTGCCAGGAACCTCAGTCTCTGGAGGGACTCATTCGCCTTGCCATCTCCATTGACAAACGTCACCAGGAGCTACAGCGCCCGGTCACCAGTGCTCGTCCAGCTCCCACTCCTGACCGTAACCAGGGGACTGGATATCGCTCCTCTTCTGAGACTACCACAACTGATGAACCCATGCAGATGGGTTGGACTCGTCTTTCCCCAGAAGAGCGGGAACATCGAATAAGGTCAGGTCTATGTTTGTATTGTGGGGGGCCCGGACACTTCGCCAGAGTCTGCCCAGCACTGGCAAAAGGCAGAGCCCACCAGTAAAACCGGGACTACTGGTGGGCAGAAACTCCAGCTCCCATTGTTCTATCCAGTGTACTGTGTTTTTAATTCTGAACAGTTTCAGCTAGAGGCATTGGTGGACTCCGGTTGTGAGCAGTCTATGTTGGATCCTGGCTAGGTAGAGAGGTGGAATACCCCTACCACTCGTTTGTCGTCTCCTCTCCCTGTGTCATCACTGGATGACAGGGCTTTATCCACCATCACTCACCAGACCATTCCCCTACAGTTAAGAGTGTCAGGTAACCACACAGAACGTCTGGCATTTTTTGTATTTCCCTCTCCCCAGTCCCCGTTCGTCCTGGGCCACTCTTGGTTGAAACGCTACAACCCCCAGCTGAACTGGAAAACCAACCGGATAGAAGGATGGAGTCCAGAGTGTTCTCAAGTTTGCCTTCGCTCAGCCTCACCAACCTTCCACAGCCCCACAATCCCTTCTGCAGAAGAGATTGATCTCTCCAAAGTACCTCTGGTCTACCATGACCTCAGACAGGTATTCAACAAAGACCGTGCTTCTTCTCTTCCCCCACACAGACCTTTTGACTGCAGCATTGAGTTGCTGCCTGGAGCTCCACTTGCCTCCAGTTGCCTATATCACCTTTCCAAGCCTGAGAGGGAGAGTATGGAGAGTTACATCCAGGAGTCTCTGGCAGCCGGTCTTATCAGGCCCTCCACCTCACCTCTGGGAGCAGGGTTTTTCTTTGTTCCAAAAAAGGAGGGAATGCTCAGGCCTTACACAGACTACAGGGGGTTAAACAAAATAACTGTAAAAAACAAGTATCCTCTGCCTCTGTTAACTTCCACTTTTGAGCCCATTCAGGACGCCACTATTGTCAGCCACTTGGATCTCAGGAATGCCTTCCACTTAGTACGGATCCGTCAGGGAGATGAGTGGAAGACGGGGTTTAAAATTCCTTTAGGACATTTTGAGTATCTGGTAATGCCTTTTGGCCTGACTAATGCTCCTGCTGTGTTTCAGTCACTTGTGAACTCTGTCTTAGGAGATTATTTGAATAAGTATGTGACTGTCTATTTGGATGATATCTTAATTTTTTCAAGTACTCTAGAACAACATGTTCAGCATGTTCGGTCGGTGTTACAGCGCCTCCTGGAAAACTGGCTTTATGTGAAGGCTGACAAATGTATGTTTCATGTCACCACGGTTAAGTTTTTAGGATTTGTCAACGAGAGTGGGAGGCTGAAGGCAGACCCTGAGAAGGTCTAGGCAGTCACGGAATGGCCTACCCCATCCTCCCGTAAACAACTCCAGAGATTCCTGGGTTTCGCCGACTTCTACAGGAGATTCACCAGAAACTTCACTCAGACAGCCACTCCTTTAACTAACCTCGCCTCCATTAACCAGCCTTTTGTTTGGTCCCCAGAAGCCCAAGCAGCTTTTCTGATGCTGAAAAGGAAGTTCACACATGCTCCGGTGCTCCACCGACCAGACCCCCAACTCCAGTTTACACTCGAGGTGGATGCCTCAGACACCGGAGTTGGTGCAGTACTGTCTCAGGTATCTCCTTCTGACCATCGCCTTCCCCCTTTTGCCTTTTTTTCTTGCCGTTTAACCCCAACAGAGAGCAGATACAACGTAGGCGACAGAGAGCTCTTGGCAGTGAAACTCGTCATCGAGGAATGGAGACACTGGCTTCAGGGGGCTGAGATCCCCTTCATCATCTGGACCGATCATAAAAATCTGGTCTACCTGAGAGAGGCAAAGAGACTCAACCCGCAACAATACAGGTGGTCCCTTTTTTTCTCTCACTTCAACCTTCAGATTTCATACCGCCCAGGCCCCAAGAACACCAAGCCAGATGCTCTCTCAAGACAACACGCACCTGACCAGGAGACAGAGCCCTCCACGATCCTACCCCCCACGTGTGTGGTGGGAGGGGTGACGTGGGAGATCCGAGACCAGGTTTTAGAGGCCCAGAGGACCGATCCAGGTCCAGGGATGGGACCTCCTGGCAGACTCTGGGTTCCGCAGGCTGTGAGGGGCAAAGTTATTCATTGGGCACATATTGGCAGATTTTCACTCCATCCCAGAGTTGGGCATACAATAGCTCTCATTAGATGCACGTTCTGGTGGCCTGCCATGTACAGGGATGTCAAAGACTATATATCAGGGTGTCATACTTGTGCTCAGCAAAAAGGAGACCGCCGGTCCCAGGCAGGACTATTAAACCCACTAGCAACCCCTTCTCGACCATGGTCTCATGTGGCGCTAGATTATTGTGGGTGGTCTGCCGAATTCTCAGGGGTTTAACACGATACTCACCATTGTGGACAGGTTTTCTAAAGACTGCCATCTCATTCCTTTAAAGTCCTTTCCTTCTTCTACAATCACAGCCAAGCTACTTATCAAACATGTTTTCCGTTTGCATGGTATCCCAGAGGAGATCCTGTCTGATCGAGGACTCCAGTTTCTATCCAGAGTCTGGAAGGAGTTCGCAGAGGCTCTGGGGGCTCGAGTCGCCCTCACATCAGGATAGACAAATGGACAATGTGAGCGTATGAACCAAGAACTCGGGGCGATGTTACGCTGTGTATGTTCGGCTCACCCGTCATCCTGGAGTTCTCACCTCGCTTGGATAGAATACGCCCACAACTCCCACGTCTCTACAGCAACAGGTCAGTCTCCTTTTGGGTCCTCCTTGGGTTATCAACCTTCCCTGTTCCCTCTACAGTCTCCAGCTCCTTCCATGGTTCCACAGTTCCTCCCGGGGGCTAAACGGGCTTGGGCATCCACCCGGGCGGCTTTGTACAGGACTGCTGACAAAAACAAGTGGCTAGCCGATCGCCGGCAGTGCCCAGCTCCAGATTACGCCCTTGGTTGGGAGGTCTGGCTCTCCTCCAAAGATATTCCCCAAAAAGCAACCACCCG